TTCTTATCTAGGCCATTGTTTTGGCCTATGTGCGGAAGGTCCTGGCTTTGCTCCAAGTCTTAACTCTTGAATTTTATCTTTAGAGGCCTTTAACAAGGTTAACCTAAAAACAACCCTTAAGCAAACATCCCACATTCCAAGAAATCAAACCCCAGGAGCCTCCAAAAAAGGGTTGGAAAGAAAGGTCACTGCAGTGGTGTGGAAATTCCCCAAAGTAACTAAATGGTCAAAAAAGAAACTGAACCCAGCAGAAATCTGTTAAGAAAGATCCGAGCCCAAATTTGGGAGTAGTGACAGGTTTGGGTAGGAGGGGCCGAAGACAGCAACTCACTCAATAAATACTGTAACCTACTGTCCCAATTTGGAGGTAACCTCACTTGCAGAACAACGAAGGAAGAATCGCAAGTGTAGGCCGGATCAGACTGATCACCTGAACCACCCTCTCCGTGAACATTATAATATAGAATTTATATAGGAAGAGAGATACATTTATATTTTATTTTTAGGCAGACAAGGTTCCTTGGGTGAATCTGATATCTTTTATTAGACCAACCCAAATAGTTGGAAAATAGTTATTAAGCAAGCTTTTGGGTTCAAAAACCCTTCATCTGGCTGAGGAAGTTTTAGCAGTTGGTGTGTGCTCTTCCTGGATGGAATGACTGGATGGAAATTTTATTTCTATACATTTATATCTTGTGTCATATTACATTATAGAATTTATCTAGGAATGAAGGAACATTTATATATTTTTATAAAAACATGACACTATGAAACACACCATGAAGAGTGGTGGAAAGGCAGCTGGCAAGCTTTCAGGAAGGGGTGGAGGACAACGTAGAGGGAGAGGTGTAAAACTTGCCCCACCCCCGCCCCCCGCAAACTGAGACACAGCCTCTTTCCTACAACTAGTAGGGATGAGGCTTCCAGAAGCAGCAAGGAGAGGGAAGCAGTGCCAGTGCCACTCCCTGTGCCTGAGTTTGCATCCCCTCTAAGAGCTTCAGCCATAACCCTAACCACCACCATGACAACAAGCAGCAGCACAAGCATGACACAGTCTCCTCCACCCCCATTTCACTTCCCATGCTGAGCCTTCCAGTGACAGAGGAAGAGCTGGAGTGGGTAATGTAGTCTAGGATCATTTTGAGCTGGCAGATGATCCCACGTATGCTATCTGCCTGCACTACCAAGCCAAAACCAGCTGAGGAGAGGGAACAAAACACATGAGCACCACAAGGATGCTGATGCATCTCCACAGGCACCACCCCCTTGCTCTTGCTCCTCCTCAGCCTGGCACCAGTGGGAGTGTGCCCAAAGGGAGGCCCCCCACTCACTCCAAAGCCCCCATCCCTCCAAAGCAGAGTCAGGCCACCCTGGAACAGTGGGGGAAAGGCGGACAGAAAGTGGGGCGCGTTGTA